TCCTGGTTTGTTGCCTGCCCTGTTCCCTTCCCACTGCCCCTGTTGCCTCCCTATCTTTTCCTGCCTCTCAGCCTCTCTTTTATTTATTTATTTATTTATTTATTTATAGTTAGCCATCCTGTCAGCCGGCAGAGGGCCATCTGCTTGTGTCCCTGCTTCCCAGCTGAGAGGCAGCACCATACTCAAAGACCACCGGCCTGCAGCGGAGCACTCAAGATGATGGTGGTAGTGGAAGAAGAGGATGCAGAGGCAGGAAAAGGTAAGGAGGCAACGGGGCAGTGGAAAGGGGGGCAAGCTGTGGGGGCAGGGAGGCAGCCAGGTTGTTGTGGACTGCTCTAGACACTGGGCTAACCAAAAAAAAAAATCCAAATGAATCAATTACCCAATTTGTGGTTCATTTGGGAAAAAAAATGTAAATTAATGGGTGGACTGCTTTAGATACTGGGCTAACTAAAAAAAAAATCCAAATGAATCAATTATCCAATTTGTGGTTCATTTGGAAAAAATGCAAATTAATAGTTTGTAGTTTGTGGACTTCCATAAACCACGAACCGAGACGAACCACCATTTGGGCAGTTAATGCCCATCCTAATCATAACTGAAAACTGTTTGACCAAACATCCCCATATTTGCACAGAGTGATGTTGACCAAACATCCCCATATTTGCACAGAGCGAGGGCAGACTGTCTGCTACACCTGTGCTGAATTTGGTGCTGATCTTAGGTCCAGTTTCAAAGTTATTTTTTATTTGAGGTGCCCCTCTTTTAGAATTGCCTTGTGGAACATTGATTTGCTCTGTTGTACATAATCCATTACTGCACCGTCTTGCAAAAAGAACAACAACGCTATTAAAATATACAGTTAAAACAGCTTCTGTACATAATGGTTCTATGCCATGGTTCCAATGATCATGATTAATGACAGTTTATGAGCAATGTTGCATTTGAGAAGGACAAGGAACTCTTGGTTATCTCTTAAATTTGCTCTGGATCTTGGGTCAATCCAAGGAAAATTTCTTGAAGCATGAATACTGTTCAGTATTTGAATGCACTGTGTAAATTCTCTGTGTCCAATGAACAGCATAATACGGAACTGTGTCAGTTTCACTTACACTCTCTGCTCTGTTATGATATCACAATTTCCCTAATATGCTAATTACTAAGTCCTGAAGTTCTTTACAAAACCCAGGTTGTCATGTTAAATACAATGGTAATGACAGAGTTAAAGTCTTAACATACAGGAAGAACCACACACTCTCTTTTATTACTTTTATTGGTCTTGACAATGTTAAGTTCATTTTCTTTCTAGTAATACTTTTAAACATTTAGTAAATATTAGGGTAGTTAACACAGCATGCTCTTACATTCTTTAACAAAAATCTAGCAACTGTGCTTTGGCAATATTCTGTATGTCTGCTCTTGATGCATACTGTTAGGAAACATTCAAAATGCTGAAGAGAAGAATATAAATAATTCTTTTAAAGACTGCAGTCCTATATCTAAGTCCCCCTGAACAATGCTGCAAAACACAAACCTTCTTCTGGGCCAGATATATACATGGCATATATGTGAAAGTGACCCGGCACATGCAGGATACATGGGAAACTGAGAAAATTATTTACTTATGTCGGAATAGTTCAGTGGTGGAACACATTTGCCCAGATTCAATTCATGGTGTCTCAGGTTTTGGGGGAGGGGCCTGCCTGAAACCCTAAAAGCTGCTGCCAGTCAGTGTTAGGAATACTGGGCTAGATAGGTCAACAGTCTGACTCCAAATAAGACAGTTTTCTGTGTTCTAGCTGAGGGCAAAGATCATTTGCCATCCCTCTAAGTCAAGGAGGGGGAATATTTATAGGCTCCTTATAAGCCCCTTCCAACTCAATTATTCTATGATTCTATTATTCATTAGGGATCCACATGTAACAACATTGACCTAGGAGCATTCCTCAGAACTCTTACATCTGTGGAGATCTGAGTGACACCTTCCACACAACCCTGCTAATGATACTGAGAGTGTATGATAATGCTTAGAGAGATCTTTTAAAAACCCTTAAGTTTACAGGGTGTCTTTGGACTTCTCCCTCCCTTTTGGCCTAACCTACCTCCTAAGAGCTGGGGACGTGGTGGCGCTGTGGGCTAAACCGCAGAAGCCTGTGCTGCAGGGTCAGAAGACCAACAGTCATAAGATCGAACCCACGCAATGGAGTGAGCTCCCGTCACTTGTTCCGCTCCCGACAACCTAGCGGTTAGAAGGCATGCAAATACAAGTAGATCAATAGGGACCACCTTGGTGGGAAGGTAACAACGTTCCGTGTCTAAGTCGCACTGGCCATGTGACCACGGAAGATTGTCTTCGGACAAACGCTGGCTCTATGGCTTGGAAACGGGGATGAACACCGCCCCCTAGAGTCTAACACGACTGGACAAAAATGGTCAAGGGGGACCTTACCTTTACCTTACCTCATAAGAGCATTGCCCTACCAACCCTAGAATAAAATGTGAGACAGTGATACGGGTTAAATACGGGCCACACTTTATTAATATACATTCATATTCAAATTTGCCATTCAGAAGGAGGGGGCCTGCTGTAGTGCGGAAACAGTTAAATGACGTGAATATCTAAATACTCCTATATCAATGAAAGGGCGAGTCCCTGCCCCCCAGGCTCCAGCGAGCTTAAGGATAGCAGGAACCTGGCCGGCCGCTAACAAACACCCCCAGACCCCAATCCACCTTTATTCGAGTTTTGTTAGTCTAGAAGTGGCCCAGTGCATCTTCCCGCCACAGGCACTGTAATTGCACGATCTTCAGTGCCAGGCGGTCAGATGTACTGTTGGGTTACTTCAAATTACAGCGTGACTCACCGTAAATACCTGTTTTTTCCGCACTACCCATCAGTGTGACTGAAGTTTTAATCCACCAAACTGCCACAACCCTCTTCTAGTGTGGGATAGGCAAAAACTCCCCCATTCACAGGCCAATCAGGATGAAGGACAAAATTCCTATCTGGCCCCATAATGGCGACCAGAATGACTCACACTAGCAATAGGGAGGGAGGGAGGGTGGGTGCCCGAAAAGAAGAGGGTGTTCCAGAGAGAAAAGCCTCTTTAAATACCCTGGCTTTCCCCTCCCATCACGTGAGACTAATCTGTCTCGCGATATCCCAGGTGGAAGGCAAGGCCAGCTTCGCTGTTCGAGGTCCAGGGATCCTCCAGCGGCTGGATCATTGTGATGATGAACTGCAACAGGAAAACCTTATATGCCATCCTGGGCACCCTTGAAATGAGCATGGGATCAAAACAAATATGTCCATGCTACTTTATCCTATGTAGACAATTTATTTTGTCTAGCCTTTAATAGTTCCCTTTCTGGACACCTACTTCTACTCCTGTATTCATGAATCTTCAATGAATTCAATGAAGCTGGGGGGAAAACTGGGGAAAAGCCAGGTATTTGATGCTGCAGGATTAAGAATAGGAGTCAGTGCATTTTGGCTCCCTGAGATGCCATAGTTTGCTTCTGGTGATGTTAATTACCTGAGAATGGGTGGTTTTTCTGTGTCCAGGTTTGTCTCTGACTAGCTGCAAAATATCTTTCCCTCACTCCTCAGTCACTGTACAGGGTTCAGTGAATCCCCTTGCATGGCTAAAAAAAAGGATGTTTATGATGATAGGAAATGTCTGCCAGCTTTGTGGATCAGCCCTCTCCCCCACAGCCATAAGTGTGGAAATGGTCCATACAAACAGACTGACATACACATATAGAACTCCGTCCTGATTAGCCCAAGCTGTTCTAAGAGGACCAATATCTCCCATCACAGAGAAGGGTTCTGCATGTGAATGCAATGGTGACTATGTGGGTGGTAGCTTGTGGGTATGCAAGCGGACAGCATGAGGATGCTCTCCTTTCAAGCACAAGCGGAATTTATCCCAAGGACGTCCCTTAGTTCTGCTGAGATCACCCGCTCCTGATATCGAGATCCCCTCCACTCCCAAACATGGGTCTCTGAATGTTAGTTAGAAGCTATTAACATTGGCTGATTTGGCTCTGTTGCCTGAGGCAGACTGCTGGGAGGTGAAGTCCATCAGCACCTGAGGAGCAAACTCTATAAAAACCCTCTTCAACACACATTCCAATGGAAATGGTTACACACATACATTAGATAAGTGCATGCATGTGTTTTTTTTTATCCACACTGACTGAGGAGGATCTGAATGGGGCCCTGTAGGCAATGGTATACTTGTAGACTCTGAGGCAATGACACCCCCAAGGTGAGACCAGGGCTTACATGTTGGTTTGAAAATACCCCCTAGACAAGATTTATCAGGCAGAATTTGACCGGTGGCAATGGTATATGCTGTAGTGGTTGTTTATTCCACTGGTTCTTAACCTTGGGTTACTCAGGAGTTTTGGACTGCAACTCCCAGAAGCCTTCACCACCAACTGTGCTGGCTGGGGTTTCTGGGAGTTGCAGTTCAAAAGTATCCGAGTAACAAAGGTTAAGAACCACTGGTTTGTTCTATCCCATGTCATGTGCCAGTCACATAAATTGGTGTGCAGTGAGGGATACCAAGTGGCAAATCATGGCTGCTGTTTAACCCATCACACTTCTACAGGTGTAACTGATGACCAGCATTCTGGACATCGTTGCTGCACCGAAAGAGAATGGGTGAAAGAACTGCCCAGGATTGAAATAAAAATGAGAAGGGGAGACAAAAATAGATTTGACCTTCTTCTCCTTGCTTAGCACCTTTGCTGCATCCACAGAGTTATCTTTTCTGTTTAGCGGCTTCCCTTTTATTGTACAGCCCTGGGAGGTAACATTATTTGCTGCATGATACTAATGAAAGGATGTCATTGTCTGTTTTCTGCTTCATTTACTCAGGGAAAAAAATTACATAATAGCACATTCTGATGTAAGGGACGCCAAACTGAACACAAGAGGAAATTACCTGTGGTGATATACTGTACTTGATAATCAACGGAGTGGTCTTGATTACCTGTGGTGATATACTGTACTTGATAGTCAACAGAGTGGTCTTGGGTATTACTGCTGGATATCTCAGTGGTTTAGGTTGTGAAGCCAGGCGTTGGGAGTACTGCTGGATAGCTCAGTGGTTTAGGTTGTGAAGCCAGGCATTGGGAGTTGATTCTTCACTGTGCCTCTTTGACAAGGGCTAGACACGATGATCTGGTTGCACGCTATGTTAATGGGATCCTAAAATAGACAAGGTCTTTGGTTTCCTATAACAGGGCTGCTCTTAAGAATTCTGCTGGAAGTTGCAGTCCAATAACACCTGGAGTGACCACAAAGCACCCGTCTTTGCTATCAGTCAGTAAACGGAGAGTGAATGGCATGCTTAACTGCTGGGCAGATCAGTGGTTTAGGTAGGTTGGTAGTCTGATTCTCCAGGGTGTCTCCTTGACAGGAGCTGGACTCAGTCATACACAGGCTCCCATCCAGCATTGCACTTCTAAGACAATGATGATGATATATGATTCCTGAATTCCTATAATTCCTGTAATCATTAAATGTGGACACAGAACAACACAGGACTGCCTATGTTGTTAAACACTGAATTGTCTGGGGAAAGGTACCTGGCACAGTGGGAGAGCACATGTTTTGGGTGTAAAAATGGAACTCTTCCCAGGTAAACAAAGCAAACCCTTTATGTCTTTAAGGCAGGGTGAGCAACGTGCACCCCATGGAATGTATGGGGTGATACTCTTGGATCCCCCCCGCCCCGGCTTTTTACGTTAAAAAGATAATAGCCACCCATACGAGCCTCCAGGAATTATGTTTCTCTAAAGTAAGGTACCAGGCCATGTCTGTGTGTCTGTGTGTAGGTCTGTGTCTATGTGGTGATGTGGACACAGTTTCTCTGCTATTTTCAAAACTGGATGTAAGCTTTTAAAAAAATGTTAAAAGCCTATATTTGGGGGGGAGGGTGCTACAGCTAGTTGGAGGGGAATGAACTGGCCCCTAGACCTGCTGAACATCTACATTTATGATTTAAAAACTCTCAAACGGCAAGACTAGCAATGTGTAGCCTGTATAATTAAATTGTAAACCGCCTGGAGAGTGCTTGCAGCACTATGGGGCGGTATATAAGTCCAATAAATAAATAAATAAATAAATACCCCTGCTTGTGATCCCCAGTCTTTAAAATTTCTTTAGAAAGGCTGCCTGCCATGTTATGTTAATATTTTGCTGTAAGCCACCCACAGTCAAGGCCTGCCACTAGAGGAGCGGGATAGAAATGTAACAGACAAACAGACAGACAGACAGACAGACAGACAGACAAAGAAAGAAAGAAAGAAAGAAAGAAAGAAAGAAAGAAAGAAAGAAAGAAAGAAAGAAAGAAAGAAAGAAAGAAAAATCTGACTGCATATTCATTGAGCACCACTGAAGGGGAATTCTTTAAACTTTCAAGAGTGGACTCCTTTTACATCACATGCTCTGCCATGTGTTTCTTAGCGGGGTCAAGTAACAGAGCAGTATTTATGAGGGCTGTCCCTTTCCTACCTTTATTTAACTTGTACACTGCTGTAATGAAAATAAAACATTTAAAATGCATGGGCTAAATGTAATGGGTAGCTTGCATAAGAAACCTTGACTTAGTTATAGAATGGGAAGGGACTATTTATGTAAATTTCAATGCTTCGGTGGATCTAGTTCATTTAGGGCTATGAGCTGGATTTCCCTATATTACGATACCTTCCCACAAAAGCAAAACTAGCCAAGCAGGCAGATCTATTGTTCTACTCTTTGTTCTCTTACATTATATGCATTTACACCAAAAACACACATCTTTGTTAGGTGCTTAACTGTCATCATTATTATTATCAATGTTACTGTCACAATCACTATTGTTGTTGTTGTTGTTGTTGTTGTAGTAAACCAGGCAGGGTCAAAATTGTAAAAACATTGACTGGTATTATATAACAGATACAAGTTTTAACAAAAAAAAAAACCCTAAGTATCTGTTTAATATTGGCAGTAGGATGTATGTATGCTGTTCCTAATATTTGTTTTTTGTAGCACTGATGGTGTGATTTCTGTAATTGCTTATAGTACTGTGTGAAGTTTCTTGATATTGTTCCCAAAGGCCCAATGACTACGGAGACCACTGAAGTGTGTTTCTTCTGGAGGTGAGATGTTTCGATTGCCAGGTCTGTGTACTTTGTTAGTTTTTCCAATTCTTTATTTTCAACTCAAACCTTTATTTTCCCCTGGGATTGCCATGATGATGATGAGAATGATGATGATGATGATGATGATGAAGAAGAAGAAGAAGAAGAAGAAGAAGAAGAAGAAGAAGAAGAAGAAGAAGAAGAAGAAGAAGAAGAGATAAATAATACAGTGTCTTTTTAAAAAGACAAATTCCATGTCAGGGGTTATTACCCAATATGGAACTGAACATGAAACTGCCAATATCATATCGTTATACACAGTCACGGTGTGGCCCCACTTGGAATGCCCTGGAAAGTTCTGGTCACTTGGATACTGAAGAATTTGGGGCGGGGAGGCAGGAAAAAACAGCCAAAATGATTAATGGACTTGAACACATCTTCTCTGAGGAAAGGCAATATTGTGTGGACCTCTTTTCTAAGCATAAATCAGGGAGAAAGAGAGACAAGGAAGGGGAGGAGATGACAGAAAGACAGAATATAATGCACTATGTGAAGAAACTGGTAAGGGAGAGGTTTTTCTCCATCTCTTGCAAGAACTACAGAACAGTAAATATATCATAATCTCATAATAATCAAGGGCTTGTAGAATCGAATGGCTGGTGGAAGATTACAAAGAGATGAAAGCCAGTACCTATTCACCCCCCACACAGTGGAACTGTGCAGTTTGCTGCCACAAGATCCAGTGATGGCTGCCCACATGGAGGATGAAACTAGCGTTGGCCACAAGTCATTACAATTACATACTTCCTCCAGTTTCAAGGAAATTCTGCCTCTGAAAACAAGCTTCTGGGGAGCACGTCACATGTGGCTTTGGGGCTTACCCTAGGCATCTGACTGGATAATGTATGAACAGAAATCTTGACTGTGTAATCTTTTGATCTAATCCAGCATGGTTGCTGTTTTGTTCTTACATTACCTGCTTAATGCTCTGTTCACCTCATAGGCAGTTTTTCATAAGAAACATTTTAGTCCAGCAACCCAAGCCAGTCCAGCTCCTTCGTCCTTGCCTACTTCCTAACCACAAGTGGAGTGTAAAGGTCACACTCAATTGTACCCTTATTACCGAGTTCTCCGCCTTACCGAATTCTTTGCCTTACACTTTGTGTGAGTGGGTGTACGTGTTTATGATAAAGAGGGAGGAAAGTAAAGGAGAGAATTAAATGCAGTGAAGAAAGTCAGCTTCCTGGCTTTGAAACGAGGCACAGAGAGAAGGAGTAGCAGGTAGGGATATTTCTAATGGAGTGTGTGTGTATTTTTCTGCAGCTTAGCTGAGTTGTGGAGCGAATGGATGTGAAGGGGGGCAGTGTCTAAGTGAACGCTAGTTAGACTGCATGCCTCTTTATGTGTAATGCTCGTTTTTTTGTTCTGTTTTTGTCTACTTTTCTACTGTTTTCCACACAAGGAGAGCAACATGGGTGGGGCAAGGTTAGAACACCCCCACTGCTCCTACATTTACTAGAATTAGTTTACATGCCTGAATACAGAAAGATGAGGAAGCAGGAGAGTGAGAAAGGAAGGCTGAAGTGGCATGGAAGGTGAGAAAGGCCAATGAGAAAGGAAAAGAGTTGGATGGATGAGAAAGAAGAGAATTAACAGAGGGAAAGAATAAGAGTAATGAGGAATCATGGATTAAAGGACTTCTAACCCTTGGTCTGTGTTATGTGCTATCTAGTTGGAACCCATTTATAATGCCCTAAATAGGGCTTTCAAGGTAAGCAAGGGTGTAGTCACATGTGGAAATAGATCACATTTTGAACTGCTTGTGAGGTAGTTTGTGTTGGAGTTATTACAACCTCACATGCTGCTTTTAGGAGCTGTGGCTGGGAGGGACCTTCCTGAGCTGGGGTGACCATCAATGTGTTCAGCACTAACCAATTGTTTCTTCCTGACTCTGATTCAGAGAGAGCTCTGCCTCTTTGCTGTGGTTCCCTACCCCAGTTCCAAAGTCTGTTGAAAGCAGTTAGTCTGTTGAGGCCTGTTGTTCAGCCATGTTTTGTCTATTCACTGTCAGTAAATGAAACCTTTTATTCTTTCCACTTTAAATGTCTCAGAGTGAGTTACTGAGACTATAAATGCCAGGTACTGTCATGAGAAGAAGGAGTGAACTAATTTGGGGAACTTGAAGCTAATTCTGCCCTGTCAGTCCTTGCACTTCTGCTGCACAGCTGGAGGAATTTAACCAAAATTCTGGTTGGATGGGATCCAGTTCCCAACAATCACATGACATATTGGGAGTTGGGCTCCAGCCCAACCTCGATCTGTACAGCTACTATATTTTGGGGACAGGCTGAAGCAATTCTGTGATAGACAGAAGGATTGCTTTAAGGGAGATTGCTCCTTGCAAAGTAACCCTTTCCAGCTGCAACTGGATGCACACCATTCCCACCATCTGATTGTACTCTGAGATATTTAATTACAGGTTTACATGAGCCCCCTCCCTGTGAGTTTCCATGGGTGAGTGGGGATTTGAGCCCACCTCTCCTGTTCGAGCCTGTCACTCTGTGACTATGCCACACTGAATATCTTATAGCCTGGAGTTACTTATGTTTGTTTGGATATGGATATGGATATTTACCTGGAACTCAAAGTGGTTCACACCTGTTAGGTTTATTTTATGTACTATTTATATTGCCAGAGTACAGAGACTAAGTAGTGAGCTCATGAACTAGTAAAAGGGAATAATCATTCTGAACTACAGACTGGTACCAAGGTAAAAATTAATCTTATCTTTTGCCAGCTGAAATCCAGTAGTAAGTTGCTGCTAAAGAAGGCCTATTTAATCAATGTAATTTACAGTACAAAGGAGGTATCTCAACAAATCTGCATTGATTCAATAAACCTCTCCCAGTTATGATTTAACTACTGCATTTCATCCACTCAGAAGGAAATCCAGTC